TTTGGCTATCACACTCGACTACATATTGAGAATTCCCTTCAATAAACATCATCTAGGTTTCATATATATATATATATATATATATATATATATATATTAAAGACATTTTTATGTTTAACATTCTTTTTATTGATACAAGTATTTTAGTAAATGCTCTGTTTCATAGAAAATATGCATCTGTATTTAGCTTGACGTGTCTAACCTCTCGGCCACAAAGGATCGTTCGGTTGGCAAGTTCGAATTTACTGCTTATAAACTTCAATCTTCTATGAATCTCGTACATTCATAACTGCTCATGGCGTATCAAATGTAAACAAATGACGTCATACATTAAGAAATCAAAGTCCGACAATTTATTAAAGACATTTTATGTTTAACGTTTTTTTATAGATACAAGTATTTTAGTAAATACTCTGTTTTAATAAACAGTATTAAATAACATTTGCCTGAATGTCGAGAAATTTTCATAGAAAATATTCGTCTTTGACAGGATTTTCTATGAAAATTTCTCGACATTCAGGCCGGTAAATGTTATTTAATACTGTTTATTATAAACAGAGTATATACTATAATACTTGTATCTATAAAAGAATGTTAAAACATAAAATGCCTTTAATAAATTGTCGGACTTTGTCCTTTTTTAATATATATATATATATATATATATATATATATATATATATATATATATATATATATATATATGTATATATATATATGCACAAAGGGAGAGAGATTCTAGCGATTTTAAAAACTTACATCAATGATGCTGCTGACTGAATCATTCTAATTACCGTGACTTGTCCCTTGAAATAAATCCAGTAAGAAACAACCACAACTTTTCTGTGATCTGGCTTAGAAGAAAGATAGGGGGAGAACCCGACCATAAAAGATCATCAAAAGATGCAATATATCCAGCATTGAATTAGTTGAATTAATAGTTCGATAAAAAAAAAAAAAAAAAAAACGAAAATAATTTTGATACGCCCTAATCATCGAGGGATTTTTCAGGTTGACACCCTGGCTCCTCTACTCTTTGTTATCATTCTTGACTATGTAGTTAAAACTTCTCTCAACAATGATCATCTAGTTTTCACTTTTCATCAAGACTCTCGGGTCGATATTTTACAAAAATATTGAGCGATATTGTCTATGCAGATGACCTAGCTATCACTTCAGACACCATTGCCATTGTTACAGTCCGTCTACATCATCTGCAAAATGCCGAAAAACCCGCTCGGCCCGGTGGCTAGGATCAAAGTGTAGTATCTGCGCTTTGTGAGCTGCCGGGTCGGGTGTCTGTCGAACTCTCTGCTTGCAGAGAGGAACCCGGACGAAGCTCCGCCGAAGGGTAGGGTTTCGTTGGGGGACGTTGACGGAACTGACCCGCCTCGGTGGGTATGGATGGTTATTTATTTTTGGCTGGGCATACGGGCTCCGAGATACCCACATTAAAAAGGCCTTGTGCCACATTCGATCTCCGTGGGTGGATTGATAAATACCATCTGCAAAATGCCGATAACGATGTTGGATTCTATATCAATGCTTCTAACACAAAACTCATAATCTTCAACCAGCAATGCTCAATTCAAATAGCCTAAGATGAATAAATAAAAAATCTGTGTGGAGGAACATCAAGCAGCTCAAAAATTTGGGGATTCAACCGAGTTTTGAACAGCCTCCAGCATGTCCGCAGCTTTGTAAACTGACTTGGACGGCGGAAGAGTTTTATTTTTGCGATTGAAAAATCTTTAAAGAATTTTTTAAGGCCATCCTGAAGCTTTCAGAAATTTTGTCTGTGGTATTTTTCAAGATTCTACAGCAATGTACATCATGCGAACTTGTGTAGTACAGTCTCACTTTGCGTTTCTGCTGTGGTTACTGTACGAAGTACGTTTTTAGGGATGAAGCCACACGCTCTACCGCATTTGAATCCAAAGTTGTTCTGCTGCTTGCCAAACAAGTTTAGAGAGCTGGGTACCTCTCTGATTGATCTTTAAGGGAAGAGATGTATTCATACTTTTCCCAATGACAACTGGGAAAAGAAAAATAATTACAATCGTCTCGGATGTAATGTAGATTTGTGATCAGCAAACGATATCATCCCAAAGGAGAATGGACGAAGAAGGAAAAACGATTGGATGACTGATGGGATTCTCGACATGATGAAAAGGAGACAGAAACCTCGGCAAAGATACGGAACGGAATACAGAAAATTACGCAATGAAATAAAGACCAAATCCATGCAAGCTAAAGAAGAATGGCTAAAAGAAAAATGTGCAGAAATATAAAGATTGAGTACTACCAACAAAAGAGACATGCATAAACAAACAGGACAAAAGACATGCTCGTCAATAGGCTGCCTAAAATCAAAGGATGGAACGCTTATATTAGAGAAGGAAAAAAGTATTCAACGCTGGAGCGAGTATATTGGAGAACTCTTCCACGACGTAAAGAAGCAACCAACAATACACAGAACTACCGACGAACCTGGGATTCTGAAAACCTAAGTAAAAGCCGCACTTGCCAAATTGGACAGAAACAAGGCAGCTGGGCCAGATGGAATTGTAACGGAAATGCTGACAGCCTTGGATGACTTTGGCATAGACAAGATCAGCGAAATAACAAATGAAATCTACAAAACGGATATATACCGGAAGATCTCAGCAGATCTATCTTCGTGGCTATGCCTAAGAAAACAGGCGCAAACGAATGTGAACTCCACTGAACAATAAGCCTAATGAGCCACGTGACAAAACTTATCATCCGTATTCTGATGAATAGAACGCGCAGCAGAATCAGGACAGAGATAGGACAAGAACAGTGCGGGTTCGTTAAAGACACCGAGATAAGGGACGCGATATTCATGCTCAGAATGTTATCAGAAAGAGCGATAAAAACAGAAGGACGTGTACCTATGTTTCATAGATTAAGCAAAGGCCTTCGACAAAGTACGCCACAAGGATCTGCTGAAACTGCTCAGCAACCTCGATATATTCGGGAAAGATATCAGAATAATCAAGAACCTGTACTAGCAACAAACAGCATGTATGCACATAGGGAACGAATTCAGTGAATATACAAAAATAGAAAGGGGTGTAATGCAAGGATGCGTCATCTCACCCGACTTGTTCAACCTATACAGCGAGGCAATTCTGAGAGAATTAGAAACCCTACCGGGATTTAGCATTGTCGGCCACAATCTTAACAACATAAGATGCGCAGAGGATACAGTACTAATAGCAGACACGGAAAAGAGATTACAAAATCTCCTACAGTAGGTAGCGACAGAGAGTGAGAAGAAAGGACTAAGCATAAACTACATGAAGACAGAATGAATGGTCATCAGTAAAAATATTAGCTCGAAATGCGATTTAAAGGTCGGTAACATTAGAATCCAGCAGACGCAGAAGTTTAAATATCTGGGAGGTGTGACATTGAGATACGTAGACGTAATCGGTGATGGCTAATGACACATTCCAAAAGCTGGGCAGTGTACTGCGAGACAGGAGGATTTCTTTGGTAACAAAGAAAAGAATGCTGAGCTGTTACGTGATATCTGTCCTTCTTTACGGCAGCGAATGTTGGTCGATTTCCTCAATGATGAAGAAGAGACTCGAGGCGACAGAGATGTGGTTCTACAGAAGGATGCCAAGGATACCATGGACTGAGCTTGTGAGCAACGTTGAGGTCTTAGAGAGGTTGCACACAAGGAGGAGGCTTATACTTAATACCAGGAAGAGGCAGCTGAAGTCTCTAGGATACATAATGAGGAAGGAGGAACTGGAGAATCTGATACTCAGTCGAATAGTGGGAAAGAGTGACAAGGGAAAACAACGCGTGACATACCTAGCGGGAGTAAGCAAGTGGATGCCAGAACGTGGTCTGGAGAAAGCAGAGGGAAGGAACTTGCTGAGAGCTGCAAGTGATAGAAGGAGGTGGAGAGCCATGATGGCCTACATTCTGAAAGGACATAGCACATAAAAAGAAAAGAGTTACCCCACTTGGCTTCGCCAAAAACTCCCGTTAGGCGACGCTATATTATCTCTCTTTTCTTCCGCTTGCTTCCAGGTGTTGTAGGACGTAGATAGGGAATGTTGCCACTGAGGACGTGTTCGTTTCCTTCGCCCACTGAACACCTACGCTTCAACACACATACACACACTTGCCTATCACACACCGTATAACAAGCACATTCTTAATAGCTGTGATTAGTGTATTTTCCTTTACTTTCAACGGTGTACGCAGTAGTGTGTCTTTTTTCTGATAATACATGTATTAACTATAAATTCTTATTTTACCCGAACTCACATGAATCTGCCAAATATTGTTTGCGGGACAAATGCACAAGAAGCCGTTAAATATTTACTTAAAAAACGTCCAAACCACGCAACCAAAGACATGATCCCCGCAGCAGACAAGGCATGCCAATTCCCCTTTTTGTGCTGATACATCGACGTTATATCCACTGGTAACTAAACCAGGGGTAGGGAAAATCTTAATTCAAACCATCTGGCAACATGTTTAAGCCAGTGTAGCAGAGTAATCCCATTACTCCTCATGTTTGATCATCATTTGGAATGATTTGAATCACTCATCTGTGGATGAAAATCGTTGATGTAAATAAATGAAAGAAAGAAATAAGACAAAAATTGGCGTTTGGCATAATAAATTTCGAACATATTTCTATATCGGAAACGAAATACCAGAAATGTATTTGATGTCTATGTAAGCGGAATTAGGTTCAAATCAGTTTGTTCATTGCGTTTTTATTTATTTACCCAAGGATTAACCCTTTGCTACAAAAAAAAGAGAAACGAGAACTAACATAAATATTAAAGGAACATTTTCACAATATCATTAGAAAGATCTTTGATACAACACTGACATCTGGGAGTAGATCCGGTTCGGAGATCACAGATTTCTCTGATGATGTCCGATGGAAAGAACTGTATTGGATAGATTATGTGATTCCAGCTGGAAAAATCTGTGCAAATATTATGAGGTTAATTAAATTACGGAATCATCTGGTGCCAAATTTCACAAGTGCTGAAAATAAGTATTTGGTAAATTTTCATATACAAACGTGTACATCAATAATCATACCAGCACCACCCTCTATTTTCTTTCACTCTCTATCCCTCTCTCTCTCTCTCTCTCTCTCTCTCTCACGTACACACTGAGACACAGACACATACATAAAGTGTATTTGTGCATATATATATATATATATATATATATATATATATATATATATATATATATATATATATATATATATATATATATATATATATATATATATATATATATATATATATAATAGTGGATTTTAGCGTGTTTATCTTTATAAACACGCCCAGTGACCGGGAGTGACTCAATTCGCATTAAGGAAGAGTCTCGCTATATAGCTATAATAGTCACTGTTTACCAACCCCATCTCCTCCCCAGAGAGCTCAACTGAAATTAATTTTTCAGGAGCCAACATACCGTCATCCACAGACAGACTGTTTCGCTGTTTCACAGCTCATCAGTGTGGCTAGACATCCGGTTGCATCCAGCATATATATATATATATGTGTGTGTGTGTGTGTGTGTGTGTGTGTGTGTGTGTGTGTGTGTGTGTGTGTGTGTGTGTGTGTGTGATGAGAATATATAAGTTTTATATATCAAGAGCAGTTTGGGAGGACAGATGTGTGACAAAGTTTTTTTCTAAATATAAAATTCCTGGCCATTATCTTTGGTGCACACGTTTAGTCGCATGAACTTAAACAAACTTAGTCCGATAAAGTTATAAGGATCGAAACACGTCACATGAAAACTTTTCCTACTCTATATATATATATATATATATATATATATATATATAAAATGGTGCAGTATATATGATATTATAAAGAAGTAATCGTAATACAAAGAATTAATCAATTAATTAATTAAGTTAATGAAATTAATGGCGAAATCACTTCGCTAACAGATTTGATAAAACATTAAATTATTAAACACGCGTTGAATGAAGCGATCCTTATGTTTAAAATTGTAAGATGTATCAGATGTTCTGTTGCTAGTACTTTCGGAAACATTCACGTTTTCATCGTCAGGTATTTATATGTTTTTTCATTTCTGGTATATATATATATATATATATATATAGGAAAAAATATATATATATATATATATATATATTCCTTCCTTGTTGCCTTTAATTTGGGTTGTAAGTATTAAAACCAGAATTGAAGATTCTAAAGTTAAAATTTCAGCGAACACTTATGTCAGGTTAAGATTTCCTAATCCAACCACGTAAATATATATTTAAATTTTGTCTATAATTAGCTTTGTGCCACACGATTTGATTGGTTGAGATTTTGGAACCAGTCTTGCAATGTTATTCAAGCAACTTCATATCTCGTTCCTTTCGATTAGCTAAAGCGATTCAGAAATTGAGTGTTGATTCTTTTTCTGTATTTTTTGTTTCATCTGATATTGTCAGTTTATTTACCAATGTCCCCCTTGAGGATAAAATTAACATTTGTGCGTTGTCCTGTGTAGTGGTCATCTCAGCAACTGCCAGTTTCCTGAAAATATATATATTTTTTTTTAATTTGATGCTTGTTGCTACTGAAGGTGTTGAACGTAATTATATGTAGTCAAATAGATGGTGCGTCTTGTGTATGACAATAAACTACATCCGTGTTCTGGGTAAGACGATAAACTACGTCCAACAGCAAGGCCTTTGATCAGGAGGTCTTGAGGAGCATGGAACCAGCTCTTAAAAGCTGGTGTTCCCAGCTCCACCCTGACCCAGGGTGGTAGCACCTGTTAGGGTCCCAGCTATGTGCAAATAGTTAACACCCAAACTTGTGTAATAATAGGTTTTAACATCAGAAATTCTTTGTAATAAAAAAAAATATTACCGGCAATAATTTCTGAGGGAAAAATTTATTATCAGTAATATTTTAAAAAGAAAAGTACCAGCAATACAGCTATACATCTTTTGAAAAAAATATGACCATCTATAGATTTCTTCACCGAAAAATATTCCCAGAAATAGATTCTTGAAGAAAAACATATTACCAGTAATAAAAGTTTTGCCGGCATTAAATAACCCATTGAGTTTGATATGCCGTAAAACAAACCAAACCAAACAAAATCAAATTAAATAGATGGTGTTGTGATGGGCAACCTCTTAGGCCCAGTTTTGGCAAATATCTATGTGAGTTTTCACTAAAATCGGTTGTTTGAAAGTGTTCAAAGACCATTATTGTATTTTCGGTATGTGGATGATACTTTAGCTTTGTTTGGTGACGAACAATAGGCAGTTAAATTATTTAACAAACGCAAGTTGTGGCACCACTCCTTGAGGGTAACCATGGAGAAGGAGAATGATTACTCCTTATGCTGTCTGGGCGTTCTTGTTGATAAGTTCTTAAAAATGTATATCGTAAACCTCCGTTTTCAGGACTTTACACGGATTGCAAATCATTTCTACCAAAAAGTAGAAAAATTAATTTAGTAAATACATTGAAGCGTCGTACTCTGATAATTTCATACCCTGCAAAGTTAGAAAAGGGGTTACGTAAGATCAAATGTATTCTTAAGAACAGTGGTTACCCGGAAGATATCCTCACGCTGGTCTTTACGCGTAGAAATTTAATTCTCCTGTTAATGGTCCTGACAAATGCCCCCTTTATTTAAAACTTCCTTCGATAGGTAAAAAGGTTCAGTCTCTAGTTGTCTATATTAGTTCCTATATTTTTGTATGTTAGTGGGCCACTAAAATGCGGGATTTTTTATTTCTTTCAAGAGTACAAGTTTCTACCCTTTTTCGGATAGCTCTGTCGTATTATATTTTAAATGCCGGTGCTATGCCGGCTATGTGGGTCTAACCTGTCTACTCTTGGTTTCGAGAATCAGCCTTCGTGTTCCAGCTTATATAAGACAGGGGAGTTGCATAATTTAACATGGTTAACACAGTCGGCTCCAGATTCTGCTGTTGGCCAGCATCTGTTTGACAATCCCGACTGTGCAGGTGAATATCAGGAAATTGGTTTGACATTTTACACAGCGTACGTTCTCTGTACATGCTCCAACTTTTTGAAGCGGTTACAATGAAACTGAGAAGACCTACCCTGTTCAGACAAAAGGAAAGCTTCAGTCGTTCCTTTCTTCCTCTGGGAGAACGCTAATCCTTTTTTTTTTTCTCCGTCCATTTTTGGCGTTTCTTCAGGTTTGCGATCAATTGTATTTGTTCTTAATTTTACAAATTAAATTGGTTTCTAAATTTGATTTAAGTTTATTTTTATATTTTAATCATGCATCAGTTTGTACTCCTGTTATTATGCATTATTCGTTGTTCGTGTTAGAAGAAAAGTAATTGTTTTCGCCAACGATTCATCTTTGACGAAGGTTGTCCGAAATATTCTTAGATATTTGCGTTTATTTTATTATTAAGATGCTTTCATCGGTTCTATTTAAGGTTTTAATAAAACCTTTTAGTATCAAGTCATTATCCACGCACACACACACACACACACACACACACACATATATATATATATATATATATATATTACAATGAATCATTCATACAAAAAGTAGATTAGTAAAATTAATGATATAAAAAGGCGAAATCACTTCGCGAACAAAATTTTAAAGTTTCATTAACCTATTGATCACTCGATGAATGTTATGATCTTTATTTTTAATAATTATGAGCTATATAATGTCTTTTTTTAATCTGCTAGTACTTTCAGCTGTACATTCAGTCATCCTCAGGCATGGAAATTATTTTGATTTTAAAAATCCAGGTAGCATCAGAGACGAAAATATTAAATGCGAATTGAAATATGTTTTCTTCTAATGTTTTATTGTTAACGGATACTAACTTTTAGAGCGTGCAGTAGCAACGCTATGGTTGAATATTTTGAAAAAAATTCAGCAACGCTGGCGAAGTGATTTCTCCATTTTATATCATTAACTTTACTAATCTACATTTTGTATGAATGATTCATTGTAATATAATTATAAATTATATATATATATATATATATATATATATATATATATATATATATATATATATATATATATATATATATATAAGAGGAATATCAATTTGATTCCGGGGATGACTACACTGTATCATAGAGTTAATGAGTCAAGCAAATTTTTGATCGATCACGTCCTTGCATGTTCTGAGACGTGAACCATATGAGTTATTAGTTGCTGAGTAGTAGGGGAATTTATACGTGATCATATACTATTGGTGGTAAATGAGTGAATGAAATCTGGTGCATCATATTCAGTATTGTATAGTGAACATTAAAACTCCTAGTGAAAAGTTAGCCCAGTTAAAACGGCTTATGCATAACATCACATGCTGTGAAGAAATCGACTGCCTTTGAGTAAGGCGGTTAAAAGTTGGGCACGATGACAAAGAAATGGGCAGTCAAAAATTAAAAGAACAGAACCAAACATGGCTAAGAAATCTGACAAGTTGACCGCCCCACTTATGCACCAGTCTTAATTCCACTTGATTTTGGCTATTTCGGAAATTGAAGAAAGACCCAAAATGACAAAGATTTGCTGCCAATCCAAAGAAACGTGATTATATTACTATGAGTTATTTCGAGGAACGATTTCCAAGAATTTTTTCAGCGATAGCACCATTGTATGGCATCACAGTAGAAGCAGTATTATGTAGAATGTGCTTATTATTATTAAGATTTCTAATACTAAGCAAATTGTACATAATACTGCTTCTACTGATCTCAGATATATTAATCTCCTATATCGTAATCAAATGCATGGTAATTATAAACAAGATGAAAATATACTAAAAAATTTAGTAAATTCTAATATATCAACTACAGATCCTAGCAAAAAAATTAAATTAGTCATATACTACACTAAATCTAGTATATCCAACTTAATACTTCGCAATGATTCTTCTCCCCAATGTTTACAAAAAAACCAACATAGTTTATAAATTCAAGTGCCCTTTGGGAGAGTGTATCACAACGAATTAAATAATATTTATGTTGGTCACACCACAAACTCGCTTTCACGATGCTTGACACTACATTTTAATAAAAAACATTTTTAGGCATTTAAAACAACATGCCTGCCCGCACACACAATTCCGTAAAATACTTGTCGAAAACACAATTATACTTCGACATGAAAACAATAGACAAAAACTAAAAATCCTTGAAGCATTATACATCAAACAGCTGAAACCCAACCTAAACAAAATCAATTATGGCATCTCTACAAATATTCTTAAATATCTATAATTGGTAACAGAAGCCATTGGTTTATACCAACGGATTTCCATACTTCATTCTCCAATTCACTCTCGTGTGGTCATGTGTGACGTCATAAGATGCGGTGCGATTTTCGCTCCTAGCGTCTTATATGCACGTGTTTATCGTTGCCTAGAAATCATCTATGTAAACATTGACAGACTATCATCACTGTCGTGTCCGTATATTGTTTAATATGTTGTAATTGACATCTTTGATAATGGCTTATGTAAGCCAAAAGCTTAGATTACATTAAAAAAATATGGATCAATATTGTGAATTTCTTTCTTCGTTCAACGATAATGTTATTAAACTTATCAGATGTTACGAAAAAAATTTACATAAAATAAATAGACAAAACTTGTCTATATTATTTAATGAAACGTGTATAAATATATATATAATATATATATATATATATATATATATATATATATATATATAGATAGATAGATAGATAGATAGATAGATATAGGTGTGCGTGTGTGTGCACGCGTGCATGTGTGTGTATTTGTGTGCGTCTATCTATGTGTGTGTGTTTATGTACGTACGTCCAAGAAGATTTTATGTGCCAAGTATGAGATGCATAAGGAAGAAATAGCCTCTCGAACCTTTCTCTCATATATATATATATATATATATATATATATATATATATATATATATATATATATATATATATATATATATACACAAGAGTAAATGTATTCAATAAAATCGCGATTGTCTTCAACCACGACTTCTGAATATCCTGCAAATCTTCTGGACGATTTCCTTTTTCAAGTTGGTGAATGATGCCATAATCCTTGCCTTCCGTTCATTTTTAGTGTTACAAGGAGTTTTTTCTTTTTCGTCTCCCTCAACTGCACCCTACAGATAATAATTAAGGGGGTTGCAGTCTGGTGAGTTAAGTGACCAGATGTCAGGTATGATTCGGTCGCAGAAATTATCTGAAAGCCATGACTCGGTTCTTCTGCTTGTGTAGCATGGCGCATAGTTCTGTTGCCAGACATAGGCTCTTCCAGCAGTCACCCTCTTGACCTTGTGCAGCAATAACTCCTCAAGGCATTTGATGTAGGCCTCGATGCTGAGTCTGAGGCCTTCATCAACAAATTCAGGAATTCCTTTCCTATTAGAACGATCAGAGTGAGTTTGCCGAACTGACGTGCCTTCGTAATCACCATTACACTCATCCAACTCTTTAAAAATGCTTTGCACTGTTCTCAGTTTGACATTGAGACACTTGGATTCTCCGGCGCGAATACCAAGCAGTAAAGCATTACGTTTCCATATTTCTGGCAGTCATGGTGCTCTTTTGCTCACAGACTGACCATACTATGCAGTCGACAAAATCAAAAACAAAAAACGCGCATGCGCGAAATTAAAAATGTAAAATGGCAACAATTTACACTTCGCACACTGTATAAGTAGGTTTGTGAGTATGGCCAATTTATTTACATTAGCTTTGGTCCTAACCATCCGAGTAAAATATAATACCTTAAATTAATAACTTATTACCCAGCATTTTACAGGAGGAAAGCATAAGGCTACATTGTTTGGGCTATCAATGTTCATTTAATTCCCCCTTCTAGTGACTTAGGGAACACTGCTATATGCCCACTACCTCCGAAAACATTTATCATTTATTTGCGAGAAAACAGCAATTACTTACGAGAACATAACATTTCCAAAGACATCAAGTTGGAATTAACAGTCGCAAAAACATATTTGGTATCGTTCAAAAACTTATTTTATGTAGATTAACACACATAAATCATTCCACTTCTACCAATGTGCAAAATGTTATTCATATAAAAAGAATGTGGGAAATAAGAAAAGAAAGACATGAATTCAAAACTTTGAGAAAGACCGTAATCAATCTCTTTGCAGAATATGTCGAATAAACCTCCACATCACTCTATTGCACAATGACAGCGCGCATATTAAATAATATATTAAAATTATTAAAGAATTAATTGAGGAAGAACATTAATCTACAATCGCACTGAAAATGAATTAAGAGAATAAAAATAATTATCAAAGATTTTTTCACAAACGAAAATTTTTTATTAAAAAAGTAATTAGAATCATTGGAAATAGACTATAATTCAGTTTTTATTTTCTGATTCATGACATAATTTTAGGCAGACTAATATTTAATTTTCAATCGATTTTATTTCTCTGAGGTATTATTTGATATGTAAATTTTAATTGTTGAAATTGTTGTAATTCAAACAATTAAAATCAGGTTAAATTTGTTTAAATGTTTCGTATATTTTTCTTACAAAATTACGTTTTCATAAATAACTTCCATTATTATTGAATACGAATATTAAATACGTGCATTTTTACCATCTCTTTTTTTCCCCTATCAACAAAGTGAGCAATAGAGGAGTTGATCGGCCTCTCTAGGCTTCGTTCGTAGTCAGTTTAACACTTGAAACACACCTTGAACTAACAGCAGTTATGTAGAAGTAACATATAAATATATATATATATGTATATGTGTGTGTGTGTGTGTGTGTGTGTATGTGATTGAATAAATTACAAACATTATATACTTTCCATCTCTTAGATTATCATTATGGTTGCAAGTGGCAAGGCAAAAGCTATGTGTAAGCTATCCATTACTAATTTTTTTTTTCCTTTGTGTTTAAATGCTATGGCTGACAGTTATGCTTTAGCGCTCACTAGAAAGAAACACACACACACACACACACACACACGCACGCACTCACACACACACGGGCACACATATATATATATTATAAATTAAATATATTAAATAGGTCAACTCAAACCATAACATCTACTGAGAATAAATCCTCAGGTCTTCCTACTCACCCTTCGGTGCTCTAGCATTAGATGTTCGTAATTTTGAATCTCTCTCTCTCTCTCTCTCTCTCTCTCTCTCTCTCAATACAATATCTGTATATCTTGTATTTAACCTGGACTAATTTTCCGTTTATATTTGGTTTGCAGGTCTTAAAGATTGAAGGCTATATTTATAGCTTTCGTGATATAAAGATTGTTACCTATGGTAATTTAAGTGTTTGATATTCATTAATTAATAATTTTGTTCAGTCTCTGACACAGAGTTCTCCTTGAATCCATATTATCTTGGAATTTCCATATGGATTATCACTTTAAATATTGTATATATATATATATATATATATATATATATATATATATATATATATATATATATATATAGAAGAAATATAGTCTTAAGGGTGTATATATTTATGGGATAAAGTGCTCAATATCACTGATAGAGCGTGTAAAATATAAAAGGAACATAGAAGTCAACACTTAGAGGCGACAGTCTGTTTCATGTTATATGCAATCGTTATATATATATATATATATATATATATATATATATATGTATGCATGTATGTGTGTATGGATGTGTATGTGTGCATACACACATATACATGCATGTGTATGTGTGTGTGTATATATATATATGTATGTATATATATATATATATATTTATATATATACATATATATATATATATATACACATATATATATATATATACATACATATACATATATATATAGATAGATAGATAGATATATGCATGTGTGCATGTGTATGTTTGTATATGTATGTGAAAAGTGTGTGTATATGAATATAGATGAATATGTGTATGTGTGGATATATGAATATATTTTTATATTTTTTATATGTGTGTACATGGGTATATGTATGTTTGTATGTGGGTACACGCCTATGTGTATGTATATACGTGTATATGTTATTGTGTATGTATGTATTCTCACGTGTTTTTGAACATAGAAATATAGGTCCTTGCTGGATTAGATAATCGTTATATTTATTTTTTATATGTTTATATTTGATTTGTAACCTCGTTATATTAGTCGATATTAAATTTGTTAAATTTTCTCAATTACAAAGCGGCCCTTTAAGTAAACGCAATTTTACTTTCCTTCGCCCCCTATCTCTCTCCCCCACCTGTCTTTTCCTCCCTCTTATTCTAACATTAGATTGTCTATGGTGTGTGTATGTCACCACGAAATGTATCTTTATGCATTAGACATCCGACAACATTCATTTTTCTCTTTTAAACCCCTTCCACCCACCTCTCCTAAAATTCTCTCTGTTAAGGTTTAATCTCCCCTCCTCCTCATACTTACTCTCTCTAAATTCTGTTTTTATTTCGGGGTTGTTTTTTCTGTTTTCTTTTTTTGAATTTGCGTCTGATGAATTGGATCGTATTTACGATGCCAATGGAATAAATTATGACCATGGAATATTAGTGTTTAAGCCTTTTTTTATTATATCCTTATATCTGTCCTGACATTGAGTTCTACCTGGATTCTTCCTTCTTGAATTTTTATTCAAAAAATATACATGTATGGGTATTTATATATTTTGTATATGTATGTATATTTACCACTAATATTAAAATATATATATATATATATATATATATATATAGAGAGAGAGAGAGAGAGAGAGAGAGAGAAAGAGAAAGAGAGAAAGAGAGAGAGAGACGGTGGATGGTGGCTTGGATTGAAGAATTGTTGAGCCGGGTTCGGCTTCAAGTCGAGTTCATTACATTCACTTACATGTTAATATCTGTTATATGCATAAATACATCTCTTTTCACACAGTTATGGGGAAATGCTTAACCAGACTGGGTCTTAGAGCCTTGTGTAACAATCTAACTAGAAGAAGTACAACTCTGAATTCAAATCCTATAGATGTTTGGTTCTCCGTTGCTGTACACTCATACATCGAAAACGACGTGCAGTCTGTTATATATATATATATATATATATATATATATATATATATATATATATATATATATATATATATATATATAGAGAGAGAGAGAGGTGTGGGAGAGAGAGAGAGAGTGAGATTAACAGACACTTAGTCAGACACATGCATTTATAACACCTAATGAACCCAACTGTGGTTTAAACTGCAACTATGTTGAGTGGATCTTAGAGTTTCCGTGAGAGAATGCATATGCTGTAATCATCAGTTTGAACAACGTCAGTACACTCAAACTCACGGTCACGATAACTTTCTAATGTGCTATATATATATATATATAAGAGAGAGAGAGAGAGAGAGAGAGAGTCAGACGTTGCAATAGGAAGTTATAATGGAGCTTAAATCTGTAAGCTAATAAGCATAAATTTATTTCATGGAATATGCAAAATAATCGACAAAATTATATAACCATCTACGTGAACGATGATCATATATATATATATATATATATATATATGTGTGTGTGTGTATGCGTGTGTGTCATTTGCAAGATACTATTTCAAAATAATTGAACATCTCTTCACAATAGAATACAAAATATATATGCCGTTCTGGCTTAATATAAAATATCAATGTTTAATTTTAAATTTTAGGCTTTTAAAAAGAAATTTAAAATTCTCCATTCTTTTGGTCTTTCATTGTAGTTTCGATAACAAGTTGCGACTCAAATCTTCTGGTGTGAAAATCTTTCTCTAAGTGAAAGAAAGAAAAGGTCTTCTTACTGATAAGACGAAAATCAATGCCGAACTAGGATTTTATCCACAGAACGATATAAAAAGAAGAAACCTTTGATTCAGGGTATCTCGGATTTTACAAGATTGGTGTCAAGATAGAAGGAACTATAGATTTGAGATAAGAGCTTCATATTTTAATTTTTTTTTTTTTATTTGAAAGAGAAGGCGGGCGAAAAATAAAACCCGTTCTACAATGAATGGAAAGATACTATCGCAAGTCTTAAACTCTGAGCTGTTAAATAGACTTTTAAAGATTTTTTTCTGAATTTCCTTAAGACAGCGACCTGAAAAGAAAAAAAAACAATTTTGAAAAGAGCTGCAGAAATATCGGGTCCTATCCTCTAACCTTTGATTTACACCAGCAAGTACCGACTTCACCGGCTTATTTGTCTTAACAGGAAAACATTGTCTCAAGCCATCGATTTTTTGGTTAGACGGCCTTCGTGGGTGATGTTTTTGTAGAGTATCAGATGCATTGGTGCCTATTTATGAGTGGATATAGGCTTTGTTGTGAAAAGGTCTCGCTGTGGGTGGTATTTGTCGGCTGGACTAATCAAGTTTGTCATGAAAAGTGAGGGTGGAAGGCTCACTAATCCTTTGCAGATCGATAAGACAATCCCCGGTGTATCTGGTCTAGGAGGGGTGAAAGTCGAACTTACAGTGTTGTATGAACGTGCAAACAGTTGTTAAATGTCACTTTCGCTTTCAAAATCAATTCAAAGGGCAATTATAAGATCTGCGTAGCATTCTTTATACATAAACAGACACACACACTCACATATACGCACGCACACACACACATATATGTGTATCTGTGTGTCTGTCTGTGTGTAAGAGTGCATGCATCTATTATTTAAAATTCGCATATTCATAGAGGAAGAATGTTCAAGAATATGGAAAGACAGTTTCTAGGCATACACAGTGCGGACATCCAAACTTACATTATGAACTCTCTAGGTTACACCCCTTAACCGACCATTAGACCACCATTTCTACGCCCACACACTCTTATTCTATCTATCTATCTATCTATCTATCTATCTATCTATCTATCTGGAGAGAGAGACAGAGATGAACGTCGATGAAAAGTCTCCTCTGGTGTCCTGTTATTCTGTAAAATTTTTATAAGTCGGCACCGTCAACATCTTTTCAGAGTGACACACACACACAGATATATATATATATATATATATATATATATATATATATATATATATTGAGGAGCTGTGATACAGCGAAACAGTCTGCCTGTGGATGACAATATATATGCTCCTGTAAATCCGGTTGAGCTGTCGAAAATAAGGGTCTTTGAAAAAAACAGCGGCTTCTACTGTATTATATATATATATATATATATATATATATATATATGTTTTTTTTATATACACAAAACCCTTTCAGGAAAAAATAAAAAATAAAATAAAAAAATAAATAAATCTCCATAGACACTTAACCAGACTAAATGATGTCATCTTCCGCTTTAAATTTAGACACCCCAACCTTACCCTGATTTGACATCTGTGAATGTTACTGAGATATTGATACAAATTATTAACCCTTACGCCTCTTTTCTTTAAACAATTGCTCTAGTCGTTACCATAGTAATCTTAATTTCAATAATGAATATCCTTATAAAACGCGTAAATTTCAGGAATAGGTTATTCCAAAAAAAAAATTTCGCTTGAAGATGGAACAGAGCATAATATTTTTAATTCAATTTAATTCAAATAATTATATTGAAGTTTTCGGCTCTTGTTTTGAAACATGAGAACTCTTATGTAGCGTTGGAATCATATATATATTATATATATATATATATATATATATATATATATATATATATATATATATATGAAGAGAGAGAGAAAGACTGCGAGAAAGACAAAGACAGAGAGATATGCGGGTCTATATTTGAATGTATATTTGTCTGCGCATATATATGTTTGCGAAAACATTCTGAAAATTTCACAGTTCAATCCAAATCAGTGGAGGAAGTTTATTAAACGGGCAAAAAACATAGCCTTCGTTCAGAGATATATTGCGTCTACAAAGTCTTTATTCTTTCGATGTTCTTTAAATAAAATAGTCTATCAAAGAATCCCATTATAGAACATAATCTAAATGTTTTCAAAATAACCTGCTTAAAATTTGATGAGATTCGAAATGACATCGGTTGCGCTTGGAAGAAGCCTGCCTTACCAAATTTGAACTCCCGTCAAAATTTAAACTTCACCCATCTATCTATTTATCTCTACTACTCTCATTCTCTCTCTCTCTCTCTCTCTATATATATATATATATATATATATATATATATATATATATATATATATATATATATAATCGACTCTCCTGTCGCGTTCGACGTATGAGGGTCAGGCTGATAAGTCCCCAGGAAACCGACATCCTGACACCGGCACATGAGATTTGTTTATAGTGGTGAAGGCCTTGTGCAGGACCAGCCACACTTTTTGGAGGGACGATTACGAAACCTGGTGCACCGAATGCATGCTACAAGGTTCCCAAACGACCCTCCGCAGGTTTTGAATTCAGAGTTGTCCTTCTCCTAGACCAGTTGCCATCCAAGGCTATAGAACCCAGTCTGTCCTGCTATTTTACCCATAGCTGGAGGGAGATGAAGAGGATACATACCTTTCCCAAGGGTATTAGCACGTAAGTGAATGCAGTGGATTCGACTGGAATTCGAACTAGGAGGAGGCACGGTGGAGCAGTGGTTAGCGGCTTGGATGGAGGAATCGCAGAGCCGATATATATATATATATATATATATATATATATATATATATATATATATATATATATATATATATATATAGTTAGAATATATATGTTAGAATGGGCGAATATCATCATGAATGAATTACTGATCCCGTAATATATATATATTTGAACTTTATTTCAATCCTTCATGAGCTTCCGATCCTTAGCTATGATTAATTAATGTTAAACATGTCATTTTCGCTTAGGTTCAATTTTATCACGACGCTACTCTTTGGAAAGTAATTATACATTCTTATTGCTCAAATTCAAATCCAATACTGTTATAAAAACCTCAGAGATGTGCCGCCGAAGCCTTGGGGGACATTTAGGTAATATTTCTTTTCATACATAATTGCCTTTACTTAAATAACATGATCTAATAGAGAGTTTGAACCAATAACACTGATTTATTTTCTACTGACTTCCGTCTTAATGAAATACCATTATATATATATATATATATATATATATATATATATATATATATGCTATTCCGCCACCAGTATCGTCGCATAGAAATCTTCTATGTCAACATGACAGAATGTCACCTTTGATGTTGAATATCTTTGTTTAAATGTACGCATAAATTTTGTCTTTATTTTAACCCTAATTTAAAGCAAATATACGAAGTTTAGAACGGCTATTTATTGTCTGTTATATTTAATAATACAGTTTATATATATATATATATATATATATATATATATATATATATATATATATTGAACAATAAAAAAATTAAAATCTTCAGACACAATTGACTGTATATTAATATTCCTTCGTTTTTATCATTGTTTCATTTAGATTCCTCGAGTAGTTTCGGTCAACATGGCCATCATCAGGAGAAAATTAATTTTCTGCTTGCTGGTAGCAGTGAACTACAGAAATATATATATATAAATATCAATGCTGAATACATATGGTATCAAAGAATCGTTTACGTAAGAACATATATATATATATATATATATATATATATATATATATATATATCATAAATGTTTGGCTTTTAAATCAGTTCACCGAAACTAGAGTGTTTTTTATGTATATACGTGTACATACGAGTACATGCGTATATTAGAGCATATATATATATATATATATATATATATATATATATATATATATATATATATATATATGAGAGTGAGAGAGACTCAGTGAGAGAGGGTAGGCAATTAAGTAAATTTCCCCTTCTAGATTTTGTTTATTATTTTGTTTCGTATTAATTAAGTCTTGTATTGTTTTAGTAGCTGCAACACTTTTTATGTTAAGCTTATATAAATTCTTTTCAGTTGTTGATGTGATAAAGTTGGTAGATAGTACAATACGTTTTGATTCGTTGGGCTTGTCTAGAAAATTCGTTTTTCTATGTTTATATATTTTACAAACCTTTTGTTTCGCTTTGAATAAGAAATAATTAGGTTACTGGAGGAGCTTAAAAGTATTTTCAATGTATTTCTGCATTTCAATATATTTCTACTCTTCAATAAATATATTTCTTGTCTTCATGTAAATACCGAAGGCTGAGTGGTGTTAAACAGAATCCGATGATTATTCCGCATTTTATTTAGGTGTTCTCGTGAGAATAGGAATTAATGAGGTCATTTTTATTAGTTGGATTTTCGATGGACACTTATTTTTGCATATTATTACTTAGATGTAACCTGATATCTATGAAAGGTAAATTGTGAGTTTACATTTTATAAGTAAATTCTATCGTATGTTTGAATTTGTTTAGTTTATCTACAAAGTCAGGTAGATGATTTTTTGCGCGGATATATCAATAAAAGGTCATCAATACATCGGAACTATATTGATTGTTTAGCTAAGATATTTTAGAAACTACCATATTCAAAAAATTCTAAGATCATGCCAACATGTCTTAGAGGGAAAACTATCGATAATCCAGATTTGTTGTTCATAGAATATATTTATAAATGTGAAATAGAATTTATTGGTGACGAGACAACAGATTTTTTTTTTCGTTTTTGGTAGGGAGAGGTTTATCTTATATATATTATATATATATATATATATATATATATATATATATATATATGAAGAAAAATACAGAAAACAAACAAAAAATTTTAACATAATTATGTATTATGTTAATATAAAGTCGACGTCGAACGTTTCGGTCTATTTAAGACTATCTTCATGGACATTTTCATTTAAACATAATTAAGATTAGAACATATAAAAATTTAATACAAAAAGACGATGGACATAAGAGCACAACTAATCCAAACAGATAACTGAAATTTTTATATAAGATCAGCGTTCCGTTTAAATCTGATCACGTCGTCGTCACGTGGGCGATGTTGTGAAAACGTATTCGAAGATGATTTACAAATATTAAAATATTAAAAAGTCGATTGAAACTATTTTATATAAACAGTTCAAGAAATCCCTTCCGTTGATATAGGAATACGTAGAGATCAATAGGTTCTTATATCTTCATACAAGCTTGAAGTCCTCCACGTTACAAAGCAAATCAAAAATGATTTCAAAAATCGATGGAACAGTTCTAAAAAACAGTTCGATAATAAATTCTTTCCTTACTTGATCAATAGATTCTTATATTTTCGTACAAGCTTGAAGTCTTCCATGTTATAAAGTAAATTCAGGTTTGTATTACCAATAGACAGTATGTGTTAAATTTTTATATATTCTAATGTTAATTATTTTTAAATGAAAATGTCCATGAACATGGTCTTAAATAGACCGAAACGCCCGACGTCGACTTTATATTAACATTAATACAACATAATTGCATGTTAAAATTTTTGTTTGTTTTTTCTGTATTTTCTTCATACTGTCGGATCTATATCCCTTATATATATATATATATATATATATATATATATATATATATATATATATATAAGAATTATGTATTTTTAACAGAAAAGCAGATGTAAAGAGATTTACACTAATTACATTATTCGGACTATTGTCCTCATCTTTGTCGCCATATTTATTACAACGTTTCGGCCGTTGTACGTTCCGCTCTTCTTCAGGTGGTTGGAATGTCGAACTGAACCCTTTATTTCGCTCACTGGGATAGACTGTTCAAGTTCCACGTGCCTTGTTTAATAGGTGTCAGTTATCAGTTATCGCCTGTTAATTTCCCTCTGTAAGTTCTCCACTGCCTTAACCGGGTATTGAACTCACACACTTTGGGTCCTGTCACTGGATCTATCCAACGCCTTTATCCACTGTGCCATGTGTCCTGAAGAAGGCCGGAACGTACAACGGCCGAAACGTTGTAATAAATATGGCGACAAAGAGGAGGACAATA